AAAGTTTGTGGCTTGCGTTTCAACTTAAAAGTACTGTACAAATTTAATTGACGTAGTAGGCAACCCAAACTAGCTACTGACAAAATCGCACAAATCATAAGGATTTTAAAGGCTTTTGAAAAACATGCCCTACTTTTTTCAATCTTAGCTTCCTGGACGGAGTTTCCCGAACATGTTAAGATGACCGGAGAGGAGACGAGATCGATTTTGACTATAGCAAAATAACTTTACATACTCATTAAAAAGATCATTCTTTTTAATTTGTCCTTACGGTGAAATACTTTCTTATTAACACCTACACCCGTTATAACTTTCGCTACATTAGTGCCTTTGCAAGTTTAAAATTATCAAGAAAAAAGATTTGATCATTTAATATGCTAAATTAACACATCCTTACTGCGTCACCGCATAAATTATTTGGCTACGTTGGCATATTAGCTTGCGAACCACAGACGTATTTCCGGTCGTCGCTTCTCTTCCTCGTTTTAAAAAAACTCTGAGAGCCAAAAAAACCGGATGCTCTTGCAGGCAACATTGGCAGAGAACTTAGTAAAGAAGTTCAAGGCCGCTCATGAATCCCCTCTTAAGAGTTGGGAGAGAGCATCGCGTTATAAAATAAAAAAGGGGCCTTCTGAACAGCCAGAATAAACTTAAAACGTAGAAAGTTCAGCTCTTTGCGTGCATTTAATAGTCAATGTAGTGGTTGTGGGAGTTTGCCGAGGATCAGCGAGGATGGCATAAGCGCTTATGAGCCTGTCATGGATTATGGACCTGTATGAAATGTTCACAACATTAATTACATAAAAATTATATTTTTAGTACATCGCACTCAAAATGTCACCAGATAATAGTGCTAATGACTGCACTAAAATTACTCGGGTATGACATATTTTGAGCTTGATTAGAGATGCTAATGAGGTAAGATTGCATAATTATTTACAGCTGTCACTCAAAAGGGACCGGCCAGTCTTTGTCCCTTCTGGAGTGAACAGCGGGACACCAGCCGGAGACTGCCCCGCTGTTCGACCGGTAATCTCGTACCCAGATCTCTTGTCAGTTTAGGTACGTGTGGTCGAGTTACGCACGTCCGGTTCTCGACGTCGTTTGGATCGGAGAGGCAGAGTTATAGATGCTGGAGAGTGGTGAGTTAATTTGAAAATAATACTTTGTTACCTTTCGACTTTCAATGTCTCTTGGTTTATAATCTGGGGACTTATACAAACAGTGTAAATAGGTAAATAGTGCAGTATTCCTCTCCTTGTCATCGTAATTTAAGCTGTGTCCCGCCCACCCATTCAATTCTTCTATTTTTGTACTATTGTTGTCATCTTTGATCTTTTTTTCTTGTGCCCTGAGTATCGGCTTAAAGTTCAATGAACTCCACGGAGGTTACAAACGAGTAGTACTGAAGAGTCCTGTGCCACACTTCCGTGATCCTTACATTAGCTAAATTATAAGTGTTAGTCATGATCTGCTCTCTATAAATCTGCATTCATTTCGTGCATGCTCCTGGTGTAGATAAAGTTTTCAAGGTCGCATTCCTGTTTTTACTTCCTTTGCACTGTCTCTAATAAGTCTCCAATAAATGATATGAGATGAGTTTTGAAACGATTTGAACAACCTAGCATTTCCTCCAGCATAATATTAATCCCCGTGACCAGGAGCCCATAATCTGCTTCACAGCCAACCGTTCCTTGTGTACGTGGCAGGCGCCTGAGTTTTTTGGTCGGTACTTATAGAGCGCGCAAGGCAAACACACAAAGGGGAAAGCAGGTGCCCGCATTGAAAGCTCTAGTTTTCCGTTTTTAACGTTCTCTGACGATGCGTAGAATTCTTTTAGACTGCAAGCAGTCTCTTATTTTTCTTTGCAAAGTTACTGCTAGCACGCAAAGTCCAAGGACGTGAGCAGCGAAGCCGGGAGCCGCGATAAACGAGGGCGTCTCATCCCAATCCGTTATTGTAACATAACGTCGTGGTTTGCAATCGGGCTGGCTGAGATAAGAACTAGACGGATTTTAAGACAATAGGCGGACTGAAAGCTGTCTAAATTCTTTAGACTAAGAGCGCCTCTTGGGAGTTAGCCTGTTACCACGATTTCAGAAACATGGATACATTTCGAGGCGTTTACGCTTTCTGTCCTTGCAAAAATCATCGAAAACGCGTCGATTTGAAAACGCTCTTAAAAGTGGACCAAAAAGAAAGCGCATAGAATATGAAGCTTCGATAGATTGGGCTAGCATAATTTTTGGCATAATTCCCGTCGTCATTACGATTTAGAAGCATGATTTTCATGTATTTCCTGAAAAACGCACTTCTAGCATAATTTGCACTTTTGGCTAGTTTTCCAGCACGGAAATTGTCCTTTTTTGATAATGCAACCAAACATTTTTGGCCCGGGATAAGTGTTACGGGCAAATTTAAGTAACGTAATTAAAAATTAATAATAAAAATTTTTTGTCTGCTTATTGTCACGTTCATGGGACCCGTGGGTCCAACAAGACTTTTCCCACAGGACTCAACGGATGCGCAAGCCTGACTAACTCGGTTACCCAAGATATAGCGTCTGTGTGCTGGTTTTTTGTTTGAGTTTTTGTAGTTTTCAGAGAATGAATTATGACTCTTAAAAGTTTCTAGATGTAAATGAAGTAAATGTGTTTGCCATTTACTTGTACGTTACGTAGTTATTGAGACAAAAGAAGCAAGGTTGATTTTACAGTAGGGAATATATATACCCGGGGGGGTACTCGATGTATCCCTGGGTGGGGAGGTGCGGCGCGGCGCCTTATACACTGACCCTGTTTAAGACAAATATCGCTGATTTTCCTACCCTGTTTAAGACAGAATTCCGATTTTTGATACCCTGTTTAAGACATTTATCCTGTTTAAGACAAAAAGTGATATATCGATACCCTGATTAAGACAAAAAATGATAAATTCGATACCCTGTTTAAGACAAAAATCCCGAAAAACATACCCTGGTCGGCCGCACGTCCCCATTAAGCCCTTATAAGGGAGTACCCCCCTGGGTATATATATATATGAAGAGGTTAAGCTGAAATAAAGAATAGCGTGCAATATGAAACTATAATTTTAACACGTGAAAATTTAAATGAGAAAAAAGTGAACGTTGAAAGCTAAAACCGTTGAAGTAGTGATTGGAAAGAAATTTGAAAAGTAAAAATAGCATAAATAAATGACAAGTAGAAGAAATAAAGACTGTATTACATTTCATCTTTCTTATTCATACCTAATGGTTCAAGAGTTTTACCTCTCTCGATGAGGTATGCTTCTCTAGCTTTTCATACACTGTCTCCCTTCAGTAGATTTAATGAGCTCTAGTGGGAGCTCTCTTGGGGAGCAAGGGATGGCGCAGTGGTGAGAGCGCTCGCCTCCCACCAATGTGGCCCGGGTTCAAATCCCGGCGTCGACGCCATATGTGGGTTGAGTTTGTTGTTGGTTCTCTCCTGTTCTCCGAGTGGTTTTTCTCCGGGTACTCCGGTTTTCCCCTCTCCCCAAAAACCAACATTTCCAAATTCCAGTTCCACCAGGAATAAGTTAGACGAAGAACTGACTTTGTGGATGTTATTTAATCATTTAAGTGTGATGTCGTTCTAAAGCAGAGTGATCATTAGTAAGAAAGTGTTCTGAGACTGTGGTGAGTTTGGAAATATTAGATGGGTTGTCAACTGGTCTGCGGTGTTCGTTGAAACGGTCTTTAAGTCGTCGTTTCGTTTCACCTATGTATTGTTTAGAGCAGTGGTTGCATTGTATCATGTAAATGACGATTTTGGAGTTACAGTCAATGTGATTAGTGATAGGTGTGGTTTCGCCTGTAGAGTAGAATGTGTATGAAGTTTGTCCGTCAGATAGGTATTTACAAGTGAGAAAGTTTTTTCCGCATGGGTATGATCCCTGGGGCTGGTTGTGTTGTGTGAGATTGCGGAGTTTGGCCCTAACTAGAAAATCAGTGAGGTTACTACTACGTCTATAAGCTACAATGGGTGCAGCTTTAAAGACGTTATAGCAACGGGGGAATGAAATAAGGATGTGAAACTGTTTGCGAATAATGGATGAGATGGAACGAAGGGCTGGGTTGTAGGTGGTAACAAAAGGGAACAGGTTCTGGTTTGTCCAGTATTGAAGTGTCATGGGGCGTGAGTGCTTCTGCCCGTGTGATGTTGTTAACTCGCTGTATTTCCGTTGAAGGAAATAGCGGTTATAGCCAAGTTTGTAAAGATAGTCAATAAGTCCATTGGTGCGTAGTGTGAAGATCTCATTGGTTGAACAAATGCGGCGGAGTCTAGCAGCTAGACTGAAAGGAATAGCACGTTTGGTGTGCATGGGATGACATTACTGAATGTAGTAAGTATTGATGTTTGTCTGTAGGTTTGGTGTAAAGGTCAGTGACGATTTTGCCATTGTGAAGTGAAAAGTTGGCATCGAGAAAGGGTATGGATGTGAAGGAATAGTCGCATGTGAATTTTATGGTGGGGTGAATGTCATTGAGAAAGGAAGTGAATGTGTTAAGGTCCTGTACTTACGGGCCCATTCCCAAACCCGTAAGTACTGGGGTCGAGAATGCCCCTCATCCCTTCTTATCGCGCAAGTTTAAAAAAAAGTAAAACGATGACCGAAAATATCGCAGGCACGTGAGTTTGTAGCAAGTGCATAGGGTTCAACTTACGTCATAAAGTCCAACTTCATCGTTTTTTCAACGTTTTAGTGTGGACAGTCGAATCTGCAGCAAAACGGTAGTGTGGACACAAAGAGCGACGCCTTTACGATGACAACGCAAACGCTCACTTTTAAAAACGCATTAGTATGGACATCCATAGCACAGGTAGCTTTGCTGTAAATTACTTTTAAAACAAAGCAATAATGGATTAGTTAAAAAGAGCGCACCATTGTCCTCAAGTTTATTAGTTGAAACATCAAGATGCTTATTTTAAACTACCATGACTTAAAATAAAGACTCTTTACCTTTACCTTCTATTTAGATCATGACAGATTTGAAAGTTATTGGCGCTGGACTGGGTCGTACTGGAACTAAATCCCTGCAGCAAGCGCTTGTTCTCTTAGGATTTGGACCCTGCCATCATATGACAGAATTACTCCCTGACAATCAAGAGCATTTGTGGCCAATGTGGAAAGAGATATTCAGCAGCAGTGAGGACAAGAGTGAAAAACTGAAGGAAGCCTTCAGGGGTTATGTGGCTACTACGGATTACCCTGGCTGTTTATTTTATAAAGAGTTCCTTCAGTGGAATCCTGATGCTAAAGTGATTCTTACTGTGCGAGATAATCCTGAGAAGTGGGTTGAATCTGTTCGAGCGACAATTTTCCCCGTCAAATCTACTAAAGAATCTGATTCCAATTCAGCACGGCAGGAATTTAACGATTCCTTTAACGCTTGTGTGACAAAGGTTCATGGTGTTGACCCAGAAGAACCAGAAACTAATTTACGGAAGTTTTATTTAGATTGGAATGAAGAAGTGAAAAGGAATGTCAAGGAAGAAAATTTGTTAATTTTTAATGTTAAAGAGGGTTGGGATCCTCTATGTAAGTTTTTAGGTGTTACACAGCCTGAGCAGCTATTTCCTAATGTGAATTCCAGTGAGGTTTTCCAAAAAGAAGTTGCAAAGCGGCGTTTAGCCAAACAAAACTGAACTTCAGTTCTGATCTGGAGCACAAATAACAGTCTTATTAACCCTTTGAGCCCTAAGAGTGATCAGTATCAAATTTCTGCTTGTAATACCAATGCTATGTTAAACAGAGTGGTCATGAGAATTACGGACATGATCACACAAGATGAATTTGCTTGATATTTTATCAACTTCTCCCCACTACTTCTGTAGGAAATGAATAGGGGCAACAAATGATAATTCAAATTTTGATCGTAGGGTTTAAAGGGATATAACAGTGTTAGCCTGCGAATATAGCCGTCTCTCCTCGCTTCTCGCCGCTAGGGACGATGTCAGCCTCCTCCTCAGGTGCATAGTTTTCCGCATGGTAGAAGCGAGCGCGAAACGCGAGTGACTGATGATGAACCACAAGGGACCATGGGAAGGGTACAGACGGAAGGTTTAGACTGTCGTCCCCTTCCCGCCTTCCTTTGCGCGCCAATTTTCATCGAGAGAGAGACGTCTGGGTACAAGGCAGGGACGATTTCGTCCTGGCGAGGAGCGAGGAGAGACAACATAAGAGCATGAATGAGGTTTAGGCTTGGGAATCGTCATTGTCATTATCATTTTATTTGATAAGGTTGCATAAAACGCCAGTAAGAATTACGGGTGTACGTATGTGCACTCGTAACTTAAGTGAGATGCATTAAATTACTTAAGTGGTCCGCTTAGGGATTTCAATTAAGTAACTGCACTTACGATTTTCGTAAGTGTTCACCTAAGTGTCGTTCATGCAAAAGAAATCGCGGGTGTTGTATAAAACTTTTTTTTACGGGAAAAATAGCACGTAAATTTACGAGACCTGTGTAGCTCCCGTATCCTTACTGTTTTTAACAAAGTTAATGAGATCCTTCACTGAGAAGTGAAAAAAGAGGTTTTTCTTTACGTAATTCCGATCTAATGCGCTTTGTAAACCTATGATGTACACTTTAAAGCTGTCGGTAAGAATAGAGAAGAACAACAAACATTTCCAGTGGATATTGAAGTAAGTAACGATTGCATGCAAACTTAATTTCAATGAGAGGCTTTTAAGTATTCGTGTGCCCTTAAGTGAGCCCGTTAGTTACCGGTAACACGTAAAACAGAAACTTACGAGAATGCTAAGTGTGTTCCATGCAACACCTGTAAGCGTACCCATAACGGATTCGTTAGTGACCTACTTAAGAGAGCACTTAAGTGCAGGTTTTATGCAACCGGGCCCAGGTCCCCTTAATCTTTCACTACTTTGATTATCATACACTTAAAACATTTCTCCGCTTCTGACAGGCTCAAATCCTACGGCTAATTTTTCATAACCAGCCGGCATTGACCAAATTTGGAAGAAGTTTGTGAGATCCAGAAAATGACCTAAATAATACAGTGTAATCGCCAGAAAAAGTGACAGCAACCGAGAATCATCCCTTGGGATGAAGTTGCGTTTTTAGGTAGAGGAGAACAGACAATTCTGTTGAATGGAAAGCGCCCCTCATCTCATAAGGACAGCTAGCTAGGCAGTTGTGAACGAGGATTACCAAAGTAATAATAACAACATGAATGCAAAAAAAATGATAAATAAATTAACACTTGAAGTGTGGTTACAAGCTGGGCATCTCGGACACTTGGGGGCCTGGCAACTGGCTGTTTTATATGAAGTTAGCCAGCCCTGACAGTCGGGTTGGCCTGCTTTATCGGGCCTGCTCGGCTCATACCCATCCAGGATATAGTTTCCCAAATTGTTGCTGTGTATAAAAGAGATAGCTCGGTTCCAGGCTCCGAGATAGTCGGGTCTCCTGGAATTGAGAAAGCACGAATCGCGTACCTTTCACTTTCGCGTCTTCCCACTATCGGAGAACCTGGAACAAGATAAAAAGGTGAAAAAGGAAACGCGGGCCGACCCGCACGCCGTTATCTCGGCCCGAGAAATTTAACGTGGCCGGCCCGAGTAACAGGGTTGCTCTACCTATGCGTCGCTTCAACTGAAACCGCCCGAGTCGTCACTGCTTTTGTGCCACAGAAATACAGGACAAAAAAGGCCGGAAATTCTATTTTTCTGTTGTTGGCTTTTCCGCTGGAATACTATTTTCAGAGCCCGCTGTGTTTGCAGCACCAGAACGAATGGATGTGCTATAAATAATCACGTGGGCGGTTAAGGAACCTGTAAGTGTTTTTACTTTATTGAAAGAGCACTGAAGAGCTGTAATGTTGCAGACCTAAAAGTTTACGCAAACGTGACGCAGCTTTAAAGCGACTTGGCGTGAAGTGACATAATGACTTTTGTAATCCACAACAGAATTTGGGCAATCATATTTAAATAATCTACACATCAGTTCAAAAAAAACATTGCTAAGTCAGAAATAGTAGTCAGTCAATATTCGGCTACGGGGCAAATTTTAAGAGTATAATTATTCCGGAGCCAAATTTGGGAGTCTTTGGTTTAAAATGGTGAACTCCAAATCGGAAAATCGGGGGGGGAAACGGAGGCAAATTCGCCAGTTTTCCCTTGCGAACAAAGAATCGACTGAATTTATAAAATAAGACCACCAACACAATTTTTTCCATAAGAAATGCGCTTATACGACTGCCGAAATAAATCGCTTAAACTTAGTTTGCGAGTTTGTGTTTTACGCTACGTGACTAGATACGTCCCCGGCTTATATATTTAACGGCGCAGAAAAGTAAAATAGATCTCAAGATTCTTTAAATAAATCGCACGTACGCAGGAACCGAATACTATGCTAATTCATAAAAGTTTGTGGCTCTCGTTTCAACGTAAAAGTACAAATTTAATTGAGGTAGTAGGCAGCCTAAACTAGCTACGAGAAAATCGCACAAATCATAAGGTTTTCAAAGGCTTTTGAAAAACATGCCCTACTTTTTTCTTTCTTAGCTTCGTGGACAAAGTTTCCCGATGATGTTAAAATGACCGGGGACGAGATCGAAATGTCTTCTGCGAAAATGCTTTTTGACTATAGCAAAATAAATTTTACATGCTCATTAAAAAAGATTGTTCTTTCTAATTTGTCCTTACGGTGAAATTTTTTCTGATTAACACCTACACCCGTTATAGCTTTCGCTACATTCGTGCCTTTGCAAGTTTAAAATTATCAAGAAAAAAGATTTGATCATTTAATATGCTAAATTAACACATCCTTACTGCGTCACCGCAAAATTATTTGGCTACATTGGCATTAGCTTGCGAACCACAGACGTATTTCCGGTCGTCGCTTCTCTTCCTCGTTTTAAAAAAACTCTGAGAGCCAAAAAAACCGGATGCTCTTGCAGGCAACATTGGCAGAGAACTTAGTAAAGAAGTTCAAGGCCGCTCATGAATCCCCTCTTAAGAGTTGGGAGAGGGCATCGCGTTATAAAATAAAAAAGGGGCTTTCTGAAGAGCCAGAATAAACTTAAAACGTAGAAAGTTCAGCTCTTTGCGTGCATTTAATAGTCAATGTAGTGGTTGTGGGAGTTTGCCGAGGATCAGCGAGGATGGCATAAGCGCTTATGAGCCTGTCATGGATTATGGACCTGTATGAAATGTTCACAACATTAATTACATAAAAATTATATTTTTAGTACATCGCACTCAAAATGTCACTAGGTAATAGTGCTAATGACTGCACTAAAATTACTCGGGTATGACATATTTTGAGATGCTAATGAGGTAAGATTGCATAATTATGTACAACTGTCACTCAAAAGGGACCGGCCTGTCTGTGCCCCTTCTGGAGTGAACAGCGGGACACCAGCCGGAGACTGCCTGCCCCGCTGTTCGACCGGTGATCTCGTACCCAGATCTCTTGTCAGTTTAGGTACGTGTGGTCGAGTTACGCACGTCCGGTTCTCGACGTCCTTTGGATCGGAGAGGCAGAGTCATAGATGCTGGAAAGTGGTGAGTTAATTTGAAAATAATACTTTGTTACCTTTCGACTTTCAAGGTATCTTGGTTTTATAATCTGGAGACTTATATACAAACGGTGTAAATAGAATAGTGCAGTATTCCTCTCCTTCTCATCTTAATTTAAGCTGTGTACCGCCCACCCATTCAATTGTTCTCTCAGTACTTTTGTTGTTATCTTTGATCCTTTTTTTTCTTATGCCCTGAGTAGCGGCTTAAAGTTCAATGAACTCCACGTAGGTTACAAACAAGTAGCTTACAAGTCCTCTGCCACAATCCAGTGATCCTTACATTTGCTAAATTATAAGCGTTAGTCATGATCTGCTCTCAATGAATCTGCATTCATTTCGTGCATGCTCCTGGTGTAGATAAAGTTTTCAGGGTCGCATTCCTGTTTTGACTGCTTTTGCGCTGTCTCTAATAAAGAATAAAGTCTCTAAAATAAAGGATAGGAGATGAGTTTTGAAACGATTTGAACGACCTAGCATTTCCTCCAGCATAATATTAATCCCCGTGACCAGGAGCCCCTAGTCTGTTTCACAGCCAACCGTTCCTTGTGTACGTGGCAGCGCCGGTTAGTTTCTTGGTCCGTACTTATAAAGCGCGCAATTCAAACACACAAAGGGGAAAGCAGGTGCCGGCTTTGAACGCTCTAGTTTTCCGTTTTCAACGTTCTCTGACGATGCGTAGAATTCTTTTAGACTGCAAGCAATCTCTTATTTTTCTTTGCAAAGTTACTGCACGTAAAGTCCAAGCACCCGAGCGGCGAAGCCGGGGCCGGGAGCCGCGATAAAAAGAGGGCGTCTCGTCCCAATCCGTTATTGTAACATAACTTCGTGGTTTGCAATCGGGCTGGCTGAGATAAGAACTAGACGGATTTTAAGACAATAGGCGGACTGCAAGCAGTCTAAATTCTTTTGACTAAGAGCGCCTCTTGGGAGTTAGCCTGTCACCACGATTTCAGAAATATGGATACATTTCGAGGCGTTTAGGCTTTCTGTCCACGCAAATACGTTAAGCGTTTTCATCGAAAACGCGTCGATTTGAAAACGCTCTCGAAAGTGGACCAAACGAAAGCGCATAGAGTTGTGAATAAGCTTTGATGGATTGTGCTGGCATAATTTTTGGCATAATTCCCGTCGTCACTACGATTTAGAAGCATTATTTTCATGTATTTCCTGAAAAACGCACTTCTAGCATAATTTGCACTTTTGGCTAGTTTCTCAGCACGGAAATTGTCCTTTTTTGAGAATGCAACCAATCATTTTTGGCCTGAGATAAGTGTTACAGGCAAATTTAAGTAACGTAATTAAAACTGAATTAGCAATAAAATTTTTTTGCCTGCTTATAGTCACATTCATGGGACCCGTGGGTCCAACAAGACTTTTCCCACAGGACTCGACGGATCCGCAAACCTGACTAACTCGGTTACCCAAGATATAGCGTCTGTGTGCTTTTTTTTTTTTTGAGTTTTTGTACTTTTCAGAGAATGAATTATGACTCTTAAAAGTTTCTAGATGTAAATGAAGTAAATGTGTTTGCCATTTACTTGTACGTTGCATAGTTATTGAGACAAAAGAAGCAAGGTTGATTTTACAGTCGGGAATATATATATGTTTTTTACCAATATTTCGGAAGGCATGGCCTTCCTTCTTCAGGGTCTTACGTACATATAATGAAGAGGTTAAGCTGAAATAAAGAATAGCGTGCAATATGGTACTATAATTTTAACACGTGAAAATTTAAATGAGAAAAAAGTGAACGTTGAAAGCAAAAACCGTTGAAGTAGTGATTGGAAAGAAATTTGAAAAGTAAAAATAGCATAAATAAATGATAACAAGTAGGAGAAATAACTGAACGACTGTATTACATTTCATCTTTCTTATTCATACCTAATGGTTCAAGAGTTTTACCTCTCTCGATGAGGCATGCTTCTCTAGCTTTTCGTACACTGTCTCTATTCAGTAGATTTAATGAGCTCTAGTGGGAGCTTTCTTGGGGAGCAAGGGATGGCGCAGTGGTGAGAGCGCTCGCCTCCCACCAATGTGGCCCGGGTTCAAATCCCGGCGTCGACGCCATATGTGGGTTGAGTTTGTTGTTGGTTCTCTCCCTTGCTCCGAGAGGTTTTTCTCCGAGTACTCCGGTTTTCCCCTCTCCCCAAAAACCAACATTTCCAAATTCCAGTTCGACCAGGAATAAGTTAGACGAAGAACTGACTTTGTGGATGTGCTACCGCTAAATCATTATTTATTTATTATTCATTTATTTAAGTGTGATGTCGTTAGCAGGCTAGAGTGATCATAAGTAAGAAAGTGTTCTGAGACTGTGGTATAAGTTTGGAGATATTAGATGGGTTGTCAACTGGTTGAAACGGTCTTTGAGTCGTCGTTTGGTTTCACCTATGTATTGTTTAGAGCAGTGGTTGCATTGTATCATGTAAATGACGACTTTGGAGTTAGACCCTGTTTACATGGAGTGGGGGACCCCGGTCTAGTGGGGTAGGTTTCTTTTGTTTTGTGTCCTCCAGAGCGTGAAAACAAAAGAAACTAACCCCACTAGACCGGGGTCCCCCACTCCATGTAAACAGGCCCGTACAGTCAATGTGATTAGTGATAGGTGTGGTTTCGCCTGTAGCGTGGAATGTGTATGAAGTTTGCCCGTCAGATATGTATTTACAAGTGAGACAGTTTGTTCCGCATGGGTATGATCCCTGGGGCTGGTTGTGTTGTGTGAGATTGTGGAGTTTGGCCCTAACTAGAAAATCACTGAGGTTACTACTACGTCTATAAGCTACAATGGGTACAGCTTTAAAGACGTTACAGCAACGGGGGAATGAAATAAGGATGTGAAACTGTTTGCGAATAATGGATGAGATGGAACGAAGGGCTGGGTTGTAGGTGGTAACAAAAGGGAACACGTTCTGGTTTGTCCAGTATTGAAGTGTTATGGGGCGTGAGTGCTTCTGCCCGTGTGATGTTGTTAACTCGCTGTATTTCCGTTGAACGAAATAGCGGTTATAGCCAAGTTTGTAAAGATATTCAATAAGTTCATTGGTGCGTAGTGTGAAGATCTCATTGGTTGAACAAATGCGGCGGAGTCTAGGAGCTAGACTGAAAGGAATAGCACGTTTGGTGTGCATGGGATGACATTACTGATTGTAGTAAGTATTGATGTTTGTCTGTAGGTTTGGTGTAAAGGTCAGTGACGATTTTGCCATTGTGAAGTGAAAAGTTGGCATCGAGAAAGAGTATGGATGTGAAGGAATAGTCGCATGTGAATTTTATGGTGGGGTGAATGTCATTGGGAGAGGAAGTGAATGTGTTAAGGTCCTGTATTTACGGGCTCATTCCAAAAACCGTAAGCACTGGGGTCGAGAATGCCCCTCATCCCTTCTTATCGCGCAAGTTTAAAACGATGACCGAAAATATCGCAGGCACGTGAGTTTGTAGCAAGTGCATAGGGTTCAACTTACGTCATAAAGTCCTACTTCATCGTTTTTTCAACGTTTTAGTGTGGACAGTCGAATCTGCAGCAAAACGGTAGTGTGGACACAAAGAGCGACGCCTTTACGATGACAACGAAAACGCTCACTTTTAAAAACGCGTTAGTATGGACATCCATAGCATAGGTAGCTTTGCTGTAAATTACTTTTAAAACAAAACAATAATGGATTAGTTAAAAAGAGCGCACCATTGTCCTCAAGTTTATTAGTTGAAACATCAACATGCTTATTTTAAACTACCATGACTTAAAATAAAGACTCTTTACCTTTACTTTCTATTTAGATCATGACAGATCTGAAAGTTATTGGCGCTGGACTGGGTCGTACTGGAACCAAATCACTGCAGCAAGCGCTTGTTCTCTTAGGATTTGGACCTTGCCATCATATGACAGAGACAGTCCCAGATAATCAAGAGCATTTGTTAATGTGGAAAGAGATATTTAGCGACAGTGGGGACAAGAGTGAAAAATTGAAAGAAGCCTTCAGGGGTTATGTGGCTACTACAGATTACCCTGGCTGTTTATTTTATAAAGAGTTCCTTCAGTGGAATCCTGATGCTAAAGTGATTCTTACTCTGCGAGATAATCCTGAGAAGTGGGTTGAATCTGTTCGAGCGACAATTTTCCCCGTCAAATCTACTAAAGAATCTGGTTCCAATTCAGCACGGCAAGAATTTAACGATTCCTTTGACGCTTGTGTGACAAAAGTTCACGGTGCTGACCCACGAAAACCAGAAACTGATTTAAGGAAGTTTTATTTAGATTGGAATGAAGAAGTGAAAAGGAATGTCAAGGAAGAAAATTTGTTAGTTTTCAACGTTAAAGAGGGTTGGGATCCTCTATGTAAGTTTTTAGATGTTCCAGAGCCCAAGCAACCATTTCCAAATGTGAATTCCAGGGAAGCTTACCTAAAACAAAATGCAAAGCATTTAGTTAAAAAAACTGAACTTTAGTTCTGATCTGGAACACAAATAAAAGTCTTATTATAAGAGTATTAGCCTGCAAATATAGCCGTCTCTTCTCGCTTCTCGTCGCTCAGGTAAATTAAGGCATGGGACCCCAGTGATTCTGTCAAAAATTGATGGGGGTGGTCTATGAGGGTATATCTATGAGCAGTTAAACACGAGAAAGATGAGACTTTGCCAGATACATACATGTGGCGTGTCTGTCAATTTGGTGTTTTTCAATTATGCAAATGTTGTCATGTGACTCCACACGGCCAGAAAACAATTAAAAATCTTTACACAAAAATGGCAACACTTTTTAATGTGAGTTATTAAAGCGGACTGGTTTAGGCAATGTGTAATGCAAGCATCTAAAAAACTGTGCTTGGCCTTTTTTGAATTTTTTACTGTTTTAGAAAATAAACGGTTTTTTCAATGTTTCAAGAACAAGCTTTTTCAAACGATGGAGGTCACGTGACCTAATTTGCATACTGAATTTTAAAGCACTAAATTGGCACAAGCTAAAAATCTGTGCATCTGGCAAAGTTTTCTCTGTCTACATCTAAAGCTCTTAGATCTAGGCCACCCCCTCACTTTTGAAGTGAGCAAATTGAGGCCAATTGAAGCCCATGCCTTGATTTACCTGAGCGCTAGGGACGATTTCGCCCGGGGGGGGCACTCCCATACATTACCTATACGGGTATGTGCCGCCCAACGGGGTCGTGATTTTGAAGCTCCTGATTTAGAACGGGATATCCATTTCAGAGGCGTTTTCTAGAACGGGGTATAAAAAATTGTGGATCACGGCTTTATCTTCTGCTTAAAATTGTTGCTGATTATGAAGAAGCATTTATTTGATGTATAAGTCGAACAAGGAAAGAAATATCTCTTTAAAAAACAGGGTTTTGCAATTTACAAACTTTCTAGAACGGGGTATCAGTTTTAGGGCGAATTCTAGAACGGGGTATAAAAAATTGGCTCATTTCTATAACGGGGTATCAATTTTAGGGGAAATTTTTTTTAGAACGGGGTGCCAATTTAGAGTCCCCGGCGGCACATACCCACCCAAAAAATATCCAAGTGCCCCCCCCGGGCGATTTCGTCACGGCGAGGAGCGAGGAGCGAGGAGAGACAACAGTATTCGCAGGCTATAAGAGCATGAATGAGTTTTAAGCTTGGGAATCGCCATTGTCATTATCATTTTATTTGATAAAGTGGTTACCTGGATTGCGGTCCAGGACCCCTTAATCTTTCACTCAGTTACTTTGATTATCATGCACTTAAGCGGCTAATTCTTCATAACCAGCTGGCATTGACCAAATTTGGAAGACGTTTGTGAGATCCAGAAAATGACGTAAATAATACAGTGTAATCGCCAGAAAAAGTGACGGCAACCGAGAATCCCTTGGGATTTAGGTAGACGAAAACACAGTTCTGTTGAATGGAAAGCGCCCTTCATCTCACAAGGAGAGCTAGCCAGGCAGTTGTGAACGAGAATTACCAAAGTAATAATAGAGCGGTTTTCACTTGACTGTCGAAAGGGATTGGTTTTGGTTTTGGTTTTGGTTTTACTACGACCTTTGGTTGGCTAGTGTATTTACTTTGGTTTTGGTTTTACGACAGTCAAGTGAAAACCGCTCTAACAACATGAATGCAAACAAAGAAAAGCTGGGCATCTTAGACACTTAGGGCCTGTCAACTGGCTGTTTTATATGAAGTTAGCCAGCCCTGATCGTCGGGTTGGCCTGCTTTATCGGGCCTGCTCGGCGCATGCCTATCCAGGATATAGTTTCCCAAATTGTTGCCGTGTTTATAACTATAACCCGGTTCCAGGCTCCGAGATAATCGGGTCCCCTGGGATTGAGAAAGTGCGAATCTCGTACCTTGCACTTCCGCGTCTTCCCACTATCTGAGAGGCTGGAACAGGCTAAAAGAGAAGGCGAACTGACCCGCTTCGCGCTTGGCCAGCTCGGGTAACAGGGCTACTATACCCATGCGTCACTTCGACTGAAATCGCCCGAGTCCTCACTACTATCATGCCACAGAAATACAGGCTGACAAAAAATAGCCTGTGAGGAAGGGGGAATAGGGGAAGGGGATTGGGTAGAGAGAGAGAGGCAGGTTACATAAAAAAGGCCGGAAATTCGTTTTTTTTTTTTAGCCTGGAGGGAGAGGGGGGAGGGAGAAAGGGAAGAAGGAAGGGAGCTCTCTCTCTTCCCAATCCCCCTCCCCTTTTCCCCCTCCCTATCCTCTACTCCTACACAGGCTAATTTTTTTTTGTTGGCTTTTCCTCTGGAATACTATTTTCAGAGCCCGATGTGTTTGCAGGACCAGAACGAATGGATGGGCTAAAAATAATCAGGTGGGCAGTTAAGGAACCTGTCAGTGGTTTTTACTTTAGTTATTGAAAGAGCACGGACGAGCTGTAATGGCCTGCACACGTAAAAGTGTACGCAAACGTGACGCAGTTTTAAAGCGACTTGGCATGAATTGACACAACAATTTGCGCAATCATATTTAAATAATCTAGACATCAGTTCAAAAATAATATTGCTAGGTCAGAAATAGCAGTCAGTCAATATTTCCACGGTGCAAAATTAAAGAGTATAATTATTCAGAAACCAAATTTGGTAGTCTTTGGTTTAAAATGGTGAACTCCGAATCAAAAAAATCGGGGAGAAATGGAGACAAATTCCCCAGTTTTCCTTTGCGAACCAAGAATCGACCGAATTATGAAATAAGACCATCAACACAATTTTTTCCCATAAGAAATACGCTTATACGACTGTCGAAATAAATCGTTTAAACTTAGTTTGCGTTTTACGCTACGTGACTAGATACGTCACGGGCTCGTAAACTGCGCAGAAAACTAAAATGTAGATCTCAAGATTCTTTAAATAAAGAGCACGTACACAGGAACCGAATGCTATGCTAATTCATAAAATTTTGTGGATCTCGTTTCAACATAAAAATACAAATTTAATTGAGGCAGTAGGTAACCCAAACTAGCTACGAGAAAATCGCACAAATCATAAGGTTTTCAAAGGCTTTTAAAAAACATGCACTACTTTTTTCCAACTCAGCTTCGTGGACGAAGTTTCCCGATGATCAAGTAAGATGACTGGGATGAGATCCAAACGTCTTCTACGAAAATGCTTTTGACTATAGCAAAATAAAGTTTACATGCTCATTGAAAAGACTATTCTTTTTAATTTGTCCTTACGGTGAAGTTTTACTGATTAACACCTACACCTGTTATAATTTTCGCTACATTGGTGCCTTCGCGAATTAAAATTATCAAGAAAAAAGATCTGATAATTTAACACAATGTTTAATATGCTAAATTATCAAACACATCTTTACTGCGTCACGCGTCACCGGATAAATATTTGGCCACATTGGCATAGAACTTAGTAACGAAGTTCAAGGTTGCTCATCCCCTCTCGAGAGTTGGGAAACAGGATCGCGTTATAAAATAAATAAGGCGTTCTGAAGAGCCATGCAGAATAAACTTAAAGCGTAGAAACCTCAGCTCTTTGCGTGCATTTAAGAGTCAAGGTAGTGGTTGCCGGGCTTAGCCTAGGATCAGCGAGGATGGCATAAGCGCTTACGACCCTATATGGTTTACATAAAAATTATTTTTAGTATATCGCACGTATGACATTTTGAGCTTGATTAGAGATGCTAATGAAGTAAGATTGGATAATTATCTACAGCTGTCACTCAAAAGGGACCGGCCTGGGTCAGCTGTGTGCAAGTTACGCAAATACACGGCGAGACCCTCATGGGTGATTGATCCAGTCAATTCTTGATCTTTTTGATCAGGCTCTATTCTTCTGGGCCTTATCTCAGGTGATACTCAAACCGAATTACCATCCCCTAACTAAGTCCCATATGTTAGCCACGAGATCTTGCCCTTCACTGCCTGGCAAATTTTTTCTATATAACTGATATAAACAAAAATTTAAAAAATAACGAGAGATAGATGGAGGGGTTTCAGCCTGTCATGAGCGTGATCTACAGTGCTTGTCTTCCTCCAGCTGGCACTTGATGTGTCAGTTCTTGAAATGCCAGGAGCAGCACTGTAAGTTAGGAGATGAAACATTTTTAAATCTGACCATGTTGTTTTCTTCCGCCTAGCAGTTGCGTTCTCAGACTGCTGCCCCTACAAATTGATTTAATTTTTAAAGATGTTTAACATTTTTCAGCTTTTTAAGAAAATGAAACGTTTAGTTTGTCACGAACTTGCAGCAGAGTTTAAAGACAAGTTTCATTCACAGTATCAAATGCATTTATATATATATATTTTTTGTATAAACGTTTGCCTGATTCCGGGAATCTGGGGATAGAAGAAAAGTGCAATGCACGTGCATAAATTCAGATGAGCTCGATCATGAGTTACCGCACGCAGTATTATGAGTCACGCGGTTTAGCGTTATGTAAGTGCATGTTAATGCGTTTCATACACAAACAACGTGATGAGGTGACACGAAGGAGCGGGCAAACCAAAGTTAAATTCTCTAACCTCAGTGAAAACAAAATGCTTCGAATAAGCGAAATATTAACAATCGAACGATTTTACTCTCGCTTGCACGTGGCCATTAGTTTTATGATGTATGCTTTCTTATTCAAGTCTCAGAGCAAGAGATGTTGATTTCTGGTTAATGATTAATTGCTGGAGGGGGATTCCGAGACCGGAAAAAATTGAACATTCATGATACATTTCGTACTTGAAGAAGCTCTCGTGACTGGCGAGGTCAACATTAGCTCAAGCGTTTGCAAATCATGCTGACAGTTATCCCAAAATTCAAATACGGTGGTACGTATTTGAAGTTATTCTGTTTTTGCAAGCTCGCAAAATAATGTCATGTGCTGGTGCACGCAATTTCAATTAAAATGTTGACTCCGTAGGTACCAGCAGCTAGGTGACTCACGTGGTTCAGGGTTAAGAGTCACTTGCTGACTAAACATGGGTTAAGTCATGTGTACTGTGTTCGCAAGTAAAGATTTTATGACCCCGAATTTCTTTCTTTAAGGCGAAGAAAACCAGATTTTATTCTTTTAAAGTGCCAAATAGTATTTAAAGAACAATGGTGGTTAACAAACGTTTGCACATGTCTAAAGGGAGCTACGTAGTAATCTTAATATGATGAGTCTAGTCTCGGCTCCGGGGACCGGAAATGACCCGCAGCCCAGTCTATCCCAGATGATGATTTCTAGAAGAAAGTATTCGTGACAGCGAGCAATGAAACTCGTACAAAGTGATACAACAGTTTTGAACCTTTCTTTCTTTTTTTGGCTTAGTAAATTCTTTAAAATTGTCCTCCTAGATTCTCTGATTGTCAAACCCGTGCAAGAACTAACTGAGAATGCATACGCGTGCGAGTCACGCTAACAGGGTTAATTGATTTTGTGTAAGTTTCTTCTTTCAAAAAAGGTGACCCAGAAGAAAGAAACTATATAACATTATCAAAAGTAAACCCCAGAATACTCTGGAGAAGTGACATACTTGTATTACAGATGTTTTTCAAACTCTTCTGGTAAAAGTGTCGAAAACCTAGGATGATCAGCTGCTCTCAAAATATGCTGAGATTAATGTAAACTATACCATGTCTTACGCTGGTTTACGTAATCCACCTAAAATGCCTCTCGATGCATGCACTCGTGCAAGGCATGCGAAGTGCACGTTTTCGGCCACGATACACTTTTCCCTAACTAAAAACCTCCCAATAGTACAAATTAATCAAACTGGCTAAATGTAAACGCCAGTGGGAAGAAAAAGCAAAATCTGTTGGTATAGTTTTTGCACATTCGAATTGATGTCACGAAATCTTCTGTTTGAGCAGTCATTTCCGTTCCCGGTCAAAAGTTGTCACGCAATCGCACACAAACATGACCAATAAGCTGCAACAAAAACTATAAATGTATAAAGCAGCTCTTCCTTTATCTACTTCACGTGTTTTAGGAACTGCTTTCCAGTTTTCATCAAATAAAACAAGGTAGATCTGCAACTTACGCCACATTTTGGCCAATTTCAATTACTTCTCGCACGGAGATCGTGTGACCGACTGATCGAAGTCCTTGAACATGCAGGTTTGCTGTGCTCTAGCTAAGGCTCCAAAAGAGCAAGTTTGGGCAGTCAACCGATTAGCGTGGAGCTCAATTTTTTCATCAACTTTAACTTAAAAAGCAGAATGGTGGTAATTTTGCAGAGGATATTTCTTGCTTCCCTACTCAACGCCTGTCAATGTCAGGGAGAGTTCAAGCGGGAATTTCCCTTCGCGCTTAACCTCGTTATAACTCTACCGGATGTAAAAAGATGATCAAATAAAAAAATCTTTTATTTACATATTCATGTACCCCTGACGCATTAAGAAACCTTTTTTCGCGTCGAAAAGTTTTTTCCCCTGAAACAATTGTCCATCCGGCTTGCGTTTATATTTAGTTGCAATATATTGGCATTTCCCAATATGCCGTAATACTACTATTTTTATTGATATACGCTAAGGTTGGCTTGCGATAAATTGTAATAGCAAATATTTAGCAGTGTTCAGCTTTGTGATTTCTTGCCAAATAATTTGAAATTATTTTTTATATTTGTTGACAAAAAGGGAAGTAGTTCACAAGCGGTCGGGAGCTGTTTTTGCAGAATCATTTAATAAATATTCTCTCACTAATGGCACATCTAATTATAGACTTGGAGTGGGGAAAGTAAAACATCACAGTGAAATACTTCCCCAATTTTGTTTGGATTTTTTTTATCCTGCTGTCTGACGAATTCGGAAGCAGAGCTGAACCGGACAAAATAGGAACGTAATTCAACACGTTCAAAGCTTTTGCCCTTGAAGCTCGCGTGGCAGAATCATGTCCTCAAGTCACGTTTGGTATAGACCGGAAATTTTCCAGAACGCGTTCTCATTGGTTAACATTGCGATACAGATTTCGTGCACCCAATCAGGAACGAGATCTTCTTTGCGGCTTTCGCGCTCGTGATAAAACTCTGACACTGTTTATAACAGGCTGCTTCATTGGAAATCGGTCATAGGAAAGTCATTTGCGCGCGGTACAAGGTACTTGGAGAGAAGCAGAATCTAACCAGCGCATCTTTTTCCTCTTTTTGAGCAAGAAAACATGCTCGACAAATTTCAAGAAGCAGATTTGGAAGAAATGAGTTTCACTGAGAAACCGCTTCAATACAGCCGTTGCATTTGTTTGGGTTCAACGAACTTTTCGTGCAAAACAAACAAGTTTGAGCTTAGCAGGAACACGAACGAAACCTTGTGGATCGCCTCGGAAAAAAACAGCAAGGAAATGATTCCAAACTCGGTCTGTGAAATAGGCCGAACACTAGGGTCTGGAGGATTTGGAACAGTTTTTGAGGCAAGTTTGGAGGGCAAAAAACTTGCTGTCAAAAAAATGCACAAAAACGTAAAAAATCCTCACGCGCTCTACGAAACTGTCCAAGCAGAAAAATTAGTTCTGCCTTTAAAGCATCCGAACATTGTGCGGACTTTTGCTGTTCTTGAGCGTGAAAACTTGGAAGATGTGTGGATTCTGATGGAATATGCCGGACATCGGACCCTACAGTCTATTATTGACGATGACCGAGAAATATTGGACAACACACGTCGCTGTCAATTTATTCGTGACATAGCAAGTGCCTTGAAATTCGTCCACGAGAACAGTCTTGTACATCTAGACTTAAAGCCTGCAAACGTAATCGTAAATAGCAACGATCTGTGCAAACTGGGCGATTTTGGGTGCTGTCAAAGCATAGAACTCACGGCAAAGGAAGAACTCTCTCTTCCACCCAGTCCCTCGCCCAGCCCGAGGAGCCTGCTCACAGGAACTTTTGCGTACAGAGCTCCGGAACTTTTAAAAGGGGACCTACCGAGCAGTAAAGCGGACATGTATTCGCTTGGGATCTGCCTATGGCAAATGCTAACTCGCGAGCAACCTTACGGACTAGAGAGCCACTTTGTCGTTATTTTTGGAGTTGTTGCGCACCATTTGCGCCCAACTCTCGAAAATTTACCGCCAAGTGCGTCAAACGAAAATGCTACTGGCGCTTATATTGGACTCATGAAATCCTTGTGGCAAGCAAGCCCGATCGACAGGCCTAGTGCGCAGCAAGTTTTAAAAACACTAAAAGACATCGAAAGCACGTGAGTTTGTACTGAGCAAGAGCGGAACTTGTCCAAAACATCGTACAGTATTTTATTTGTTCATACTAGACTCTCAGCGCCTAAATCTCCTCTGATTACTATACTAAGTTTTTATTTATTTTTCCAAAGAATTCTCTAAATTATTTTGATAGAAATTGAAGTGGAAATTGTATTTCCGCATTTGGAAAAAAAAAATTGAGGTCAACAGGATTTGACCAGTTCGTGTTGAAATTCCGTGTATGTCGGTGTATTTTTTGTAAGCTGTCACGGCGGTACAATTAGCATAAATTTGCAAATTTCATTTACGACTCAATACAAAAGCGACTTACGCACTTCGCTTGTTAGCCAGAAATGGTGTTTCACCAGTTATCGCAAAACTTCTATTTTTTAATCCTTATAAGGAACTGGATTCAAGAAAGCCACTTTTGCATATTTTGCGATTATGTATTTGTTTATCGTTCACTCAAAACGTACTTCCGTGACCAGGGGCTTATGTTTTGAAAATTCCCATTAGTCAAAACTGCTTTCTCATCCTAAAGTGGCTTTTTTAAAGATTCAGAGCAAATACAAGATAAATGTATTTATCAAGTTTCCATGGGGATTAACAATAAGCGAATTTGTATGGAGTCGTAAAATGAGATTACAGTATTTCTTGCAGACAGCATAATCTAGTCAGTAAATTTCTGTGAGATTTTTTATTAAAATTCAAAGCTCTGGGGAAAAAAACAGTTTCAAACCTTTTTCTGCTATTTTGACTATTTCTTTTTGGTTTATATACATTTTAATATCTTTTATGATACTTATCCAGTACTAAACTCGCAAATTTTTTTTAGTGAAATGTTAGAGGGTTTCCTATTCTCTCTCAGTGAAAACTTATTGAATTGAAGATTGGTCTTGCAAATATATTCATGGACTGTATTTTTTAATTACTTCAAACAAACTGTCAATGATTAATATATGGTATAAGGATTGATTCGATGTATATAAAAAATATAATGATAACTTAAGTCATCCATGAACAATTTCAGTTAAAAATGAATGTTGAAAGAAATATAATTGTACATAGATTTCTATTATACAAACAGAGAAGAATGGAAATTTATTTAAAGATCTTTTAGGATTTCTTGCCTTAATGTTGTAATTAAGGAGATTATAAATAGATTTTATAGCAATGACAGAGTTGTAGAAAAATAGTAATTTCCAAAAATACAAGAAAGAGGATGTAATAAATTTCAATGTTAAAAAGAAATCTGGTGAGAATTTTGTCGGTGTCTAAAGATTCCAACCTAAATATGACCATTTAAAATATTCCAGGGGCAAAAGCTAAAGCACTTCAAGTCTGCTATGCAGGGCTTTACATGATCAAAAACCTGAAGTTAATTCATGCAGAATATCATGATCATCCAAATATCAGCCCAGGATTATTTTTATCCTTATGATAACGATAACTTGACCTTGAACAACATATTTATAGGAATGAGGTAATCCAGCTATAACTTTTGCACATGCACCAGCTCTTGCATGCAGTGACATGTGATGCAACTGTTATTAATAACTTGACAATAAGGTTTACAAGGTCAAAGTGTCAGGGATAAATATATTATTATCATAAAAATCCTGTTGAAGCTTTTACTATAATTTTTCTTTTCTTCCTGGGGGAGGGGGCAAAGTCATGATGTAAACATGCTTTAGGATCTGACCTTTTAGAGCATCCTGGACTATTTGTTAGTTTGATTTGATTAAACAGAGTTTCACAAACATGCACAGAATGGACTTTGCATTTTGGCAGGCCACCATGAAAGTTTGCAAAACAGACAAAGAGTAAAGACTACTATACTTTTCTCCAACAACATGCGATTCCTTTATAATATTAATACTATATGTCACAAGTGAACTGTATTCTATGATCCTTCCTAAACTAACACTGCTAGTCAACAAAAATTTGCTTTTTTTAGCCTGTAAGGTTCTCTCAGTTTCTGCTTATACATGTACATATGTACTGGTTATAGCTAAACCTTAATACTATTCTAAACCCTAAAACCTTAAACCTGAAGGTCCAGAAAATTTATTTCAGAAACCTACTGATTTGTTTCTCAATCCTGATGATTTCTAACAGAAACAAAAATATATCTGGTGTGGTATAACACTGTACTGGGTACTAAAGGTCCCGATGAACAAAGTTCAGCACTGGCTGTGTTCAAATTACTGAATATGTCCAATTAAATTAGCTATAATTTATTGCAACTGCTGTATCAGGCACTCTTGTAGTTTTCTCTGAAGCTCCTTGTCAGTTTTCCAGTAACCTCGCAGTGGTAAAAAAATGAGTTTGCAGGGACGAAGAGGAGAAGAGAAGCTCAGATTACTTTGATACAAGTACAGAATGTCCCTGTTGTGTTACTTACTCAAGGCCATGAAAATCGATCCTGAAACCACCAAATAAAAGTATATTCTCATGGTAAACCTAGGGACAAAGAACATGCAGTTTGTTAAGAAGAAACCCAGTATCAAGAGGAGACAGAGGTAAGTGGCAACGCTGTATTATTCCAAGACTTCATTGCCAACACTGGTATATTGTAAAATATGTGGCTTCAAACACACAAAGAAACATGCATGTAAAAAAAATAGGAAAATTCTGCTTTTTGAGATATCATCAAATTTACTCTGTGGCATTAAAGTGCATATCCAGTCAAAAGCAACTCTAGCCTAAAACACTAAGAGAAAGTCTTGAGCACTCTATAATCTATAATTACTATAACAGTCTGGTATTTAGGATAACCCGCCCGTGGATGGGTGGGGGGCACTCCCTTATTTGGCCTGTACGGGTATGTGCCACTG